CCCACCCACACAGCTCAACGAACGCACCCTATTGACCACTCACCAGAGAGAGACTTCGAGTTGCAGCGTCATGTTGACGAGGATGGGTGAGAGAGATATCGCTGCACGCTGACGGTGCGCTGACATCACAGAGCATTCAGAAAGGGAGAGAGCGAGAGATGAGGTGTGCCTCATGCGAGCTGCCCTCGATTCGGTGCAAGTTTGAGAGATTCCCGCCATGCCAAATTTTTGCTCAGATCAGCGATCACAAGTCACAAGCACAACCACGATGTAGATAGTCTATAAATTATATGAGTCGTCACATACATGTACACATGTCTTGTTCGAGGTGCAGGCCATGCTAAGCACAGACATTCGAACATGGCGGAAGAGCTAGACGACCAGTTCATCATCGATTCAGACGTCGCGAGCGTCTCCAGCGGTGAGGTAGAGCACAGCGACTCGGACTTGAACTCTGACGCAGGCGAACCCTCGGGCCATCTGCCGTCCGCTCATGATGCATCGAGCAAGAGCAAGCTGAGTGATGGAGGTGAAGGAAAAGAAAAACTTCAATTATCAGCAGGTCAAGATGCAAATGATAGCAAGAAACGAAAACGGAAGCTGCAACAGGCAAAGAGGAAGCGACGAGTGCGTACAGACGGAGTAGGTGAATGCACATGACCAAAGGCACCGTGGCTGACCCCTTCGCCGAACATTGGACGGATGCAACCCTTACATTCGCTCACAATCTAGAAAGCGGAAGCAGAGGCAATAAAAGCGTCACAAAAGCCCTTCTATCTACTGCCGCCAGACGTGCAAGCAGAACAATTACGACAGCTGCAAAAACAAGCTTTCCCGAAGCTGACCGCGTTGGAGTTGAGCGAGATGGAGATCCCAGGTGAGGGTGGTATTCAGCCGAATGATCAGAGTGTTCAATTTGAAAAGTTCCTCTGTTAATCCGATCACTCCGATCACCTTAGAATCTGCCTTTGTAAACGTGGCGGACCTATTCGAAGAGCGCAAGCTCGAAGACTTTGAACCAATGTGCAGTACAGGTGAGTAATGATGGAGTTGAAAGCGGCCAAATTGATCTACCAGCACGCTCAAACCCACCCTCGCATCTCCTGCAGCCGTTCCGTCTCTGCGGAAAACTTTGGATGATCCAAAAGCGAAATGCAGAGTAGAGAGGGGACGGCCAGCGCTGCTCTGTATCACGGGCAATGCGATGCGTGCTGCCGACCTGGCGCGCGGGCTACGCGCATTGTTGCCCAAGTCAGACTCGCCGCAAACTGCAAAGGCGAGTGCCAAGTTGAAGAAATCAGGTGGGAAAGTGATGGATGGAAGAAGAAACGTGGCAGAGAAAGGAACAGACGCGAGAGAACCGGGAAAGGGAGATGACGAAACCGCGGAGGGCAGCGCCGCACAGCCCTGGCCGACAGTCGCCAAACTGTTCGCACGACATTTCAAGCTTGCTGAGCAAGTCGCGTTTCTTTCCACGCACATTTCACCCTTGGCAGTTGGCACTCCTGCGCGTGTAGCCGACCTGCTCAAGCATGAAGCCGCCCCAGCAGCGGCTGAGACATGCGCAGCGGCCGCCCTATCGCTAGCGGAGCTCGAGCTTCTTGTCATAGATGCCAGCTGGAAAGACGCCAAAGAGCGAACGGTGGTTGACGGCTTGGAGACGCGCGGCGAGCTGTTCAAATTACTAAATAGAGACGTTATTAAGGAGAGGATCAAAGATAAGCGCTGTAAGCTTCTGCTATTTTGACATTACATGCCTCACCTCCATTGCGACTGGGCAGCGAGTGAAAGAATAGTACGAGCGGGGAATTATAGACGTAATGAATTTTGAAGTGCTCAAAGCTGGCATAGTGGATGAATACATGATAGACATCGATCGCCACGCCTCACAGGCCTGCTATCGCAGGAAAAAGCACCTCATCAAGGTATATTACACCCTTTTCTAGGTCCAGACTTAGCTCAAGGTCGCTACCGTTTGGTCTTGGCGTGCCCCTGCATCACACAGCTCATACACGATGCGGGACTCCCCCGGGTAGCACTTTGCGCCCTGGCCCCGCCGCTCCCGCGCCTGTGTTTGCGTTGGCCAATCCTGGTCAGGACGAACTACTGCGGGGGCACCAGCACACTCTCACTCACGCCCGCAGATACAGATTCCGCTACACTTCCACTGCACACTGACGTACTAACGTGGAGCATACCAGCCGGGACGAGGGTGTGTCCACAGCTTCCCGCAAGCGACAAGAGGCCCCGTTCCACGGATCTACGGCTCGGATAGCCAGCCTAGCTTGGCTATGCATACATTGCTCCTTTTACCACCTCCAGAGCGCACCCAGGTACTGGCACAAGGATATACGTACCACGGTCTCATGGTGCACCAGAAGTACGTGCGTTTGTGCAACAACAGCTGCAGAGCAGGTCTGCAGCCCTACTCGTCAGCGTCGTTTTGTTCGTGCGCTTCCCCGGCCCGGTGACGACAACATCGACGACGACCAAATCCGCCTTTGGCGAGATCGCCGACTTTGCCGTGGCACGCCCGAAAGTCGAAGGTCGAAAGCGGTTGCGATAAGCTCATTTGCGCGGCTGTAGCCGGATTCAATAGTGGCATTGTCATCAGCAGCTGGGCGCAAGTGCGAAATCGGTACATTCTTTGGCGCTGCTGATATCCAAGGCGTCCATCGAAGCCGAGCCGAACAAGCGGCGCACACTCCCACTCACGTCGCTTGTTCCGAAAAGACTTCCTGCTGGCGTCCGCACTCTGGCTGTACGCATACCAGGCTTCCCGCGACTTCGGTATGGCGGACGTGCATGTAGGCGACGCAAACGGGCCCGGGAACAGCACGGGTCATGGCTCCACCCGGCACCCGCGGGCGTTCAGGCCAGATGGAGATGGACTTGCTCTCCCGCATGCAAGCGTAAATGGCGGCAGTGGTAGTGGCAGTGGCAGGACGAACAGGCCCGGGGAGCGAAGCGGGTCGTCCAAGTCGCACGGTAGTCATCATCGGCAGCCGGTACGCATAGGGCAGTACACGGTGCAGCAGACGCTCGGTACGGGCAGCTTTGGCAAGGTGAAACGTAAGTAGGCCTTCCGCCACAAATTCTCGGGCGATTTTCTTCCCCTGCTGACGATCATGACATGTGCGACTCCTTTGAAATGGAGCGCAGTGGCGACGCATTCGCTCACTGGACATCGAGTGGCGATGAAGATCATCAACCGCAACAAGATCTCATCCCTCGACATGGGCGGGCGTGTGAAACGTGAGATACAGTACCTCAAGCTCTTACGCCATCCACATATCGTCAAGCTGTACGAGGTCATCACCACACCCTCGGACATCATCATGGTTATCGAATACGCAGGGGGAGAACTGTTCCAGTACATCGTAGATCGAGGGAGAATGCCCGAGAACGAGGCGCGGCGCTTGTTCCAGCAGATCATTTGCGCCATTGAGTACTGCCATCGGCACAAGATCGTACATCGTGACCTGAAGCCCGAAAAGTGAGTCTGTCTCCGCAGTGGCTCGGGGCGGAGGGTTTTCTGAAGCACCCTTTTGTCCATAGCCTCCTGCTGGATGAATACCTGAACGTCAAGATCGGGGACTTTGGATTGTCGAACATCATGACGGACGGCGATTTTCTCAAGACCAGCTGTGGCAGTCCCAACTACGCTGCTCCTGAGGTCATCTCTGGAAAGTGAGTCCTGCATGCTGATCGGATGTGCCCTCTCCCATCAAGCGGCTGATCAGCGCATGTGCTGGCTGACAGATTGTATGCGGGGCCGGAGATTGACATTTGGAGCTGCGGCGTGATCCTGTACGTGATGCTCTGTGGGCGCCTGCCGTTCGATGACGAGTACATCCCGACGCTGTTCAAGAAGATCAACAATGGCATCTACTCGATTCCGTCGTACGTCTCGGCAGAGGCGAGGCAACTGCTGCAGAGTATGCTCGTCGTCGATCCCGTCAAGCGCATCACTATCGCAGAGATCCGGCAGCTGCCATGGTTCCAGATGAATCTACCCGGCTACTTGCAGCCCCTGCCTCCAACTCCCGCGGCCGAACCGAAAGGCTTTGACTTTGACGTGTCGCAGACGCAAGGCGGCGAAGTGGGCCAGGCGGTCGATCCGAACAAGCCGCGTCGAAGCCTGCTCACAGCCGACCTGGGCCTTGTAGAGGAGGAGATCGTTGACGAGTTGGCGGGAAAGATGATCGGCTTCTCGCGCGAGGACGTCACGTCGCAGCTTTGCGCGCCGGGCGAGAACCAGGTCAAAGTGGCGTACCAGCTGCTGCGCGATCACCAGCGCATGATACAGAATTCGCACTTGGAGGAGCAGAAGGAGATGCAAGGTTTCCTGGCGCAGAGCCCCCCGCCCTGGAACGCAGGCCTGGACGAGGCCATGTCCCGCTCGACGAGCATCAAGCGGCGACCGACGGGGACAAGCGGCAGGTCGAGTCATACGTCGCGGAGCTCGTCAGTTCAAGCGCCGGGTGCAGAGCCTGGTACGTCACTCCAGCAAGGTGCGACGGCGCAAGGCGAGATGTCGGAAGAAGCGGAGCAGTCTGCTGACGCGGAGGACAACGCAACAGACGTCCTCTCTGGATCCGACGACGAGCTGCTCACTGAAGACGAGACGATCTTCACTGACGACGACGATCTGGACGAGGTGCAGCGGGTGCAGACTGGCATCGCACTATTGGAAAGCAGCATACCCGGCTCAGAGAGCTTTGTAGGCGATGCCAAGGACTCGGCCGTGCCGCTGCCGACGCCGCAACCAAAGAAGGCACGATCTAAGTGGCACTTCGGTATTCGCAGCCGGAGTCCTCCGATGGAGATCATGCTCGAGCTCTACCGGACGCTGCAGGTGCTCGGCATGGAGTGGCGCTTACGTCCAGAGCTGGAGCAGACAAAACGGAAAGAGGGCAAAGAGGAGCAGCAGGGCCAGCAGAAAGGAGGGCAACGGCAGCAGCAGCACTCCGGCGGGTACGACGACGCGACCAAGGCTCAAGAGCTTTTCTTTCTCGAGACTCGATGGAATGTCGGCAATGTGTTGGTCCGCATGGATCTGCAGCTATATCGCGTCGACGTCAACAACTACCTCGTCGACTTTCGCAACGTTGGATACACCGTGCAGGACGAGGCGCGCTCCTCTTCTGCGGCAGCAGCGGCAGCGGTGACAGCTGCAGACGACGGTGAGGGCGAGGGAGTTGGAGATGAAGACGACGAGGACAAGGACAAGGACCAGGGCCGGGAGAAGGCCAAGGAGAAGGACGGTAACAGCAAGCACGCAGTCAAAGACGCCGAGCAATATTCCCTAGGCGACAAGGTGCTCGAGGCGCTCGAGGCCGCAGCCAAGGAAGCCGAAGCTCGCGAGGAAAGCGCGCACATCTCGGAAGCCGCCAAGCGTGAAATCAGACGCAATATCAACCCGAAACCTAGTCTTGCGCCTGCAGTGCCGACTGGCCGTAAGGAAGTGTGTAGCCCATTTTTGTTCCTCGAGTGTGCTACGCGGCTCATGTGAGTACTTGCGCGCTCGCGCGAATTCAAGTTAGTACGAGACTGGACGCTGACCCCTTAACACCTACTTGGACTCCCCAAATCTCACAGCGTCGAACTTGCTGGTGGCGGCTGATTGAATCTGCTGTCGGTACTGCTCCCTTACCTGCATCGCCGCGCTGCATCGCACGACTACCCTGCATTCGCGTTTTTGTTCCTGTCCCGCTCGTGCACGCATTATATCACCTCGGCAAGGCAGGAGCATCTCATTCTCCCATAAATTGCTCAGATCTGTACTCTAATAGACTCGTTGAGAGAGGTTCTTCTCTTCCTTCTGTATTCTTAGAGTGAAGCGTCGTCCCAGTCAGAAGACTTTGCAAGCAGAGCAAATCCGCAACGCTTCCGTGGGCCTGATATGACGCCTGTGACAGGAGCAGAGAGGCGTGGTGATTGGATTGATATGCTACAAGTATCTTAGGGTCGTTGCGGCCTAGTAGCGGGCGTGTGAACGGCGAGGCGTGAAGTCTCGGGAGCAGTGATGTATCTGCACAAGATGCATGCATGATAAATCATTTCGATGATGAGACAAAGCTTGAGCAAGCAAAAGATTAGATTGACGGCTCAGGCGGAGGTGGCAGGAACACTCTCTCTTTCGCTTGCGACCCGTCGAACGTATGTCGATGAGACAAGGTTAAACGCCTCAAAGTAGCGTTCCTGCATTTGCAAGCGGCGCAGCTCACTTCAGTCGCGAGTTACAAGAGCATCTCTTTTTGTAGAGGGCACTTACAAGACACCGTGAGAGGCACTGTTGTTCTTTGGAACTCAGCGAGCCTCCTGGGCTTGGGACGCATTTGGCGTAGCACTTGTGACTGCAATCACAACGACAGTGACAAGGGTTGACAAGAATGAGTCTTCACACCTTGATCCCATTTCTTTCGCCAGCAGCACAGACGCGGAGCTGATACTCACGTGGCCTGTATGAAAGAACACAGAATATAGAGAACAGAGCAAGGCCATAGCAGTTGGAGATGGAGATAAGCGAGAAAGACAAAGGTGTCAGCCCAGAAGCCAACCCTTCAATTCGAAAGCAAATCCAGTCGGCCAGGACTATCCGAGCCGGGGTCCGAAGAAGAGCTAAAATCGGACTGACTGACCTTTTCAATGAGCTGCTGAGCATTGGCCATGGCAAGTTCGTTGGTGACCTGAGCTTTGATCGTCTCTTTGCGCTCTTGCGCCGACATCTTGGCGCCGCCTGAGCTTCCCGTGAGTGATGAGAGATCCATACCGAATTCAAATCCGTCTCTCTTTCTGATAGGAAAGCTTCTAATACATCCGAAGGAATTGGACGATGATGTTGAAGACGAGACTGGATAGGTTGAAAGGTCGAAAGGAGCCAGATATTACAGCTGCTCATCAATCAGAATGAGACGAAGTATGTGCCAGTACATAGACAACAAAAATATGACCGAAGTATTACGTAATAAGCACTCGAAGAAACCCCTTCGATCAGGCGCCGCGGGCCTTTACAAGCGACCGATCACAGCGAGAAGGATGATCATCAGTACTAGTAACAGTACCAGCAGCGAGGCCGTTGACCTCTGCCCTTTCTACCCATCGGATTGGTGGTGGGCGACCAAGTTTACAAACAAATGGCTAACGGGCAAGGTTCGTCATTGGAAAATCATTTTGCCTCCTTCTACGCGCCATCTAAACTCCAAATTCGTCCAGACCAGATCCTCGCGCGGCGGCCATTCGGTCCCCAGCTTGGCAACCCCGCCACTACCCATGACACAACGGCCAGCGGCCAATCTCACAGAATCTACTGTACCATGCGACGCGACGTTACATAAATGGTATGGTTGCAAACGAGAAGGGGAGACAGACAGTTGAAGGTCTCCGGAACATGCTGAAACGGTCTTTTTACTTGATTCGCATCAGTCTGCGATGCCTCACCTGATCAGGGCCAGGCGCATATGCCATTTGTTGAAGTGGCATTGCGGAGACGCAAGGAGCCTTTATGTCAAGAGGCGCGTCTGGCAAAGTCGAATAAGAGTGATTAGAACAAGACTATTCCCACATAGTAAAAGTGTGCGCGTGCGGGGCTCACCAGAATATTTGCCGGAGTCTTGGACACTCGGTCGTAGATGTCCTGCATGTCCTGCTCGCTGACATCCGAAATATCGGCCATAAGGTACGCAATATCCTTGCTCGAGTCTGTGTGTTGCTTGTCGACGTTATGGCTCCCCAGAATCTCATTGATAACCTTGAGCGAACCAGGCTGGTTTTGGTGGACGTAGCAGATCCGGATGACGCGCGTTTCGGCTTCGGTGATGGCACGCAGATCTACCTCTGGGAAGTTGACAGCACCGACCGAGGAGCCAATGTTGATGTAGCGCGTCAGAGCACTGGCGACCTCAATGCCGATCATCTTCTGTGCTTCCTCGGTGCTGCCGCCAATGTGGGGCGTCAGGATGACGTTGTTGCACTTGCGTAGACCCTCGGCCCAAGGGTTCAAAGAGTCGGTGAAAAGGTCCTTGCCGTTTCCTGCTGGCTCCTTCGGGTACACGTCAACCGCCGCACCAGCGAGATGGCCGGACTCCAAGCCTTCGATGAGCGCAGGGATGTCGACTATTGTGCCACGTGCATTGTTCAACAAGTAGGAGCCCTTCTTCATCGCCTGAATCTGTTGCGTAGAAATCATGTTCTTCGTTTCGGGCAACTCCGGAACGTGAAGTGACACGAAATCAGAGCGGCCAAGCAGTTCTTCTAGCGTGTCGACCTGTCGCGCTGTGCCAAGTGGCATGAGCGGAATCACGTCGTAGTAGAGGACAGCCATGCCCATGCTCTCCGCAAGGACTGACAGCTGTGAGCCAATGTGACCATAGCCCACGATTCCGAGCGTCTTGCCTCGAATTTCAAAGCAGCCTTTTGACACCTTGTTCCACTCGCCCAGGCGCATTTCCATCGCACGGTCGGTCAACTGTCGCGATAACGAGATGACCTCGGCGATCACTAACTCGGCTACTGAGCGCGAGTTGGCAAAGGGCGAGTTGAAGACAGCAACACCAGCCTTGGCAGCGGCATTCAGATCGACTTGGTTGGTGCCGATGCAGAAGCAGCCGACCGCGAGCAGCTGGGAAAAAGGTCAAGATGAGTGAAACTACGAAATCCATCACGCAACGATTGTACATACCTTATTGGCATTCCGGAATACTTTGGCGGTGAGCTTTGTTTTTGATCGAATGCCGATGACGTTGTAGTCCCCAATCTTCTTGCAGAGCTCTTCCTCGCTCCAAGCCTTGGTATGGAAGTCTACTTGATACCCTTGCTCTCTAAGCATCTGCACAGCGCCTTGACTAACGTTCTCGAGCAGAAGGATCTTGATGTCGCCAATGGCAAAGGGTGTGAGCAACCTTGGGGCTCTGCTGGAGCCTGGGATGGAAACTGCGCGTGCGCGGGGTGCGGTCGGCTGGTACATTGCACCGGGCGGCGAACTAGGCGAGCCGCCAAAGACGCTTGAGGCTTGTGCCGTTGCAGTGGCTGCCGCAGCTGTCGCAGCTGTCTGTTGTTGCTGCGCGTTCATCATGGCGCTGAACGAGCCGCTGAAGTTGCTGGGCGGGGAGAAACCCGCCCGGTGAAATGCTTGTGCATGGTGGTAGTTGTTTTCGTGCGTCATGCTGGGCCAACAATTCTTTAAGGGCTCAATGTTCGTGTAGAGGGAAGCTGCGTTGCAAGGAGGATAGGGATGAGCGTGTTCTTCTTATAAACCCCAGCATTGGATTTCTCCATTTGCAACTCGGATGTTAGAAGGCAAGAGACAGCGATCAACGTCCGTATTTCCAGAATGGAGTCATTGCACTCCAAATCGCTGTTGTATGACGCGGAGAAAAGCTTCAGGCGCGGAACTACTGAATACTTTGTAAACAACGTGCTTCTTGACGGGGTCTCTCGGCCGAGAGAGTTCCTCCTCCATCGAAGCATTACGTCGCCCAGATTCCTCGTCCTTGCCCTATCATCATCGTATTACCGCTTTGCGTCTATGAAGATATTGTCCAACGGGTGACAATACCCAGCGCAGCACCCGTGTGTTCGATTGCAAGCATTACATGATTCGGAGCTCGCACTCGAGACATTTCTTGGCTTTCCGATTGCTGGTCACATCAAGAGAGGCAGTGTCTGTTTCGACCGACGCTTGCTCTGGTTCCCCACAAGTCATCATGGCCAAGGGAGAGCCCCTCGCTGGCGGGAGCTGGCCGGGCAGGCCGACGCAAGAAGAGATCGAGGCGAAGCGCGCTGCGCGTGCTGTCAAGCGCACTGCAGAGCAAGCGCTCCAAGCAGCCAAGGAAGAGACACTGCGAGCGGCGCTGCTCGGCCAAGGTCCGGATGACGGCCCGGAACTTTTGAGCAAAGATGAAAGCGGAAGACAATTGTTTTTTCCACGAAGATGGTCGCATACAGGGCCTGAAGAAAGCAAGGGGGGAATTCGCATCTTGAGCTGGAAGTGGGTCTCCATCACATGGTTCCGATTTGACTATTTGAGACTTGAGATATTGAGCGATGTCCCACCCTCTACCTCCGCGCAAACAGTATGCTAGCTCAGGGCTTGGTGCGACGGAAGCTATTTCCTGGATCAGACTGCTTAAAAATGGCCGACCGCTCTCCCGGCCTCAGTGCTGAGCTGCTGGCGCATCGTTTCGACATTGGCTGCTTCCAAGAAGTCGATCGGACCGACATTCATTTTGCTACGCTGGAGAAAGGGAAGTTCGCCTATGTCTATGAAAAGGGATACAGCGTAAAGCAGCATGGCCTCATGATTTCTTGGAGGACTGTACCAAGGCGTCTCCGGACCTCTCCCTCCCCTCAAGCGGAGCACGAGGCGTCTGGATGGTCTTCTTCCTTCGAAAGAGAGCCACTAGCGACCAAAATTGCCTTTCTCGACGATCTTGACGTGACCCCCTACCTTTCTTCAACCTCAAGAGCTAAACGAGAAACGCTCGGCCCACACGCAAGAAGGGCAGGGTCCAGGCAAACGCGCAACATTGCTCTCTTCGTCGCTCTACGTGTAGCCGCGGGTGCAGGGTCACATCCAGAGCAAGGGGAAGCCTCGCAAATTAGGGCGGGAGGAGGTTGTCGCGGCGTGATCGTCGCGACCACTCATCTGTTTTGGCACCCGATGCATGCCTACGAACGGGTACGCCAGGCTGGCCTCGTCCTTCGAGAGCTCGATGCATTTCGGAAAAGTCAACCAGAATGGCAGGGCTGGCCTGTGATCCTTGCCGGTGGTAAGTCTTGCAGGTTGTTGAAAGCATTCACTACTTTGGTCTGACCCTTCATATGCACGTTGTGAAATAGACTTCAACGACCAGCCGCACAGTGCAACGTACCACTTCTTGACCGGAAGCAAGCTTACTTCGCATTGCGAAACAGAGATCACAGCCAGCAGTGTGATACATCAGACGATCGACGCGAGGGCAGAACGGGAGGCAACGGACATCGAGCATGCTGGAATCAAGCAGACAAACGCGCCGGTGTCAACGCCTGACGGTCACGAGGAAGGTGAAGGAGGGGAAGCTGCAGACGAAGAAGAGGCTGGTGCCGATGATCAAGTCCGCAAGAACTGTCGTACAGCTTTGCAGAAAGACGGACTGCTGTGCCTAGAAGAGTTTCACGAACTATATGGTGTCAACGGCCCAAGAGCACTAAGCACGTATGGTGTCTACAATCAGGATACGGGCAACTTTTTCGGTGTAAGTCGCATGCAAGGTAAACGACCCGCAAGCAGTGGCTGAACGTCTTTTCGATGCAGACTCCAGGGCGAGGAAGAGAACGTTGGGACGAGCACTGGACGCCAGAGACGCCTAATCTGCACGAGGGACCCAGTCGGGAACCAATGTGGACAATTTTCTCCTCCCTTTTCAGCCTCACACTCGATTACATTTTCCTACTGCCCACTAGCCGTGTAGATGGGAAGGCCCCAGAGATGTATCCCAGAGTTCTGTCGTTGCTGCCCACGCATCGAACGCACGTATTGCAACCAGGCATACCTCGCAAAAGCGTATGCTGCTCTGATCACATCGCGATCGGTGCAGAGATCGACCCTCAGGACTATCTAATGAAGGCGCAGGTAGCTGGCACCAAAAGCGGACAACCATAGCGAGATCGTTTAATAGAATTAGGCATGCAAATCACAGCAAGCAAATTGTATTACGCCACATCCGCAGATCGAAATGCATCGCTGCTACTGGTGTGAACCTTGCTGACTACCTTGTTGCTGCTGATGTTGCTGTTGTTGCTGTTGCTGTTGCTGCTGCTGCTGTTGTTGTTGTTGTTGCTGTTGCTGCTGAGGAGTTTGTCTGAAAAGCTGCAGCGCCAGCTGAGCAATTTGCTCTTGAGTAAGATTCGAGCTGCAACAGAAAGAGGCTGAGTCAGGAATGATATTTACCGCGCACGGCAATTCTTCATCTGCTCACCTGGCTAACGTTTGCGAGAGCTGCTGCTGCAGTGCCAGTATACTGGCAGCGTCACTGCCACTGATCGGTCGTGTGATGGTATTTCCAGGTCGTTGCTGACTACGCGCTGCAGCAGCGACGGCGTTCATGATCGCGGCGTTGGCTGCTGCGTTGGTCAAGGGAACGCCTGACGTTTGAGGCGGTCGCGCCTGGGGCTGGGCTTGCATATTGCGCATTTGTTGCTGGGCCTGCAATTGAACTCGAGCCTGCGCCTGCGCTTGAGCCTGTGCTTGCGCCTTGGCTTGGGCTTGGGCTTGTGCTTGTGCTTGTGCTTGGGCTTGTGCTTGTGCTTGTGCTTGTGCTTGTGCTTGTGCTTGTGCTTGTGCTTGTGCTTGTGCTTGTGCTTGTGCTTGTGCTTGTGCTTG